ATATCCTTCAACAATTGTCTCCCTTCCTCCAAAGACACACAGCGTTGCAGGATTCCTGATGGACTTTTCTTGTACAACCCGGTCTCATGAATAATATAAAGCCTGCTGCGCCTGGAAATCCGCTCGGCTTCATCTTTATCTTGGGGGAGTTCTTGGTTGGTCAGAAATCGTATAAGGGGCTCTCTCTAGTCGGCTTCAACCATAGCTATGTCTTGAGTGTCCGTGGCCTTAACTGTTTCTTTCCTTGGTACGGTTGGTTCGTAAAGATGTTCGACGAATACATCGGAAGGAGCTGCTTCGCGTTTGGATCCAATATTTGCTAGTCTGTCGGCTGCTTCATTATTGTGCCGAAGAACGTGAGTGAGTTCGAGTCCATCGAACTTATCTTCCAACTTACGTACCCCTTGCCGATAGGCGGTCATGTTGTCATCAAGGCAGGACCACTCTTTCATAACTTGATTAACAACCAACTGTGAATCTCCACAAACTATCAAACGCCTAATTCCCAAAGAGATTGCAATCCGTAGTCCGTGAAGAAGCGCCTCGTATTCTGCCACGTTGTGAGATGCAGAAAAATGTATCCACAACACGTAGCTCAGTCTTTCTCCAGTCGAGGAAATTAAAACAACCCCAGCACCAGTGCCCGAAAGTCTCTTCGACCCGTCAAAGTGCATAGTCCAATACTCCATCTTCTCCTCGGGCGTATCCTCTTGGCACTCGGTCCACTCGGCGACGAAGTCGGCTAAAGCTTGGGACTTGATCGAAGTTCGCAGCTTGAACGATATATCCAAGGACATCAGTTCTAGGGCCCATTTTGCGATCCGCCCGTTTGCTTCGCGATTATGAAGTATATCGCTGAGCGGAAACGATGTAACCACCATGACTGAGTGACCCTGGAAGTAGTGAGATAATTTCCTAACGGTAATTAGAACGATCATTGTGAGCATCGGGTCACACCATTGGAGTGGTGGAAATTGTCTGTTTTCTTTAACAGCTTGAAGAAGGGCATCCCCCGCTCGCCGAGTCGTGAAACAAACCGGCTGAGCGCCGCCATGCATCCAGTCAGCTTTTGGACACCTTTCTGGGAACTCGGCGGTTTCATGTTGAGGATGGCATTGACTTTCTCCGGGTTGGCCTGTATGCCTCTATGAGACACCATATATCCAAGCAGCTTCCCTGATGGTACTCCGAAGGTGCATTTTTTAGGGTTCAGTTTCATCTTGAAAGCGCGGATGCTCGCAAAGGTTTCTTCCAGGTCCATGATCAAATCATCTTTCTGCTTGGTCTTGATGACTACATCATCCACATAAGCTTCAATGTTGCGACCGATCTGAGTTGAGAAACATCCCTGGATCATGCGTTGATAAGTTGCTCCTGCGTTCTTTAATCCGAAAGGCATGGTGATGTAGCAGTAGGCCCCAATGGGCGTGATGAATGAAGTCTTCAAGCAGTCGGATTCCTTCAATCGGATCTAATGATATCCTGAGTAGCAATCCAAAAAACTGAGTAGCTCGCAGCCGGCGGTCGAGTCGACTACCTGGTCAATGCAAGGCAAACCAAAAGGATCTTTGTGGCAATACTTGTTGAGGTTTGTGTAATCGACACACATGCGCCATTGCAAGGTCTTCTTCCAGCCAGTTGGGATGAAGGATTTCTTTGATGAAGCCTGCTGTTAACAGCTTGGTCAATTCCTCCTTGATCGCGTCCTTCCTGTCTTGTGCGAAGCGGCGGAGTCGTTGTTTGATGGGTTTAGCGTCTTCCTTAACATGCAAAGAGTGCTCAATCACCTCTCTGGGAATACCAGGCATATCGGATGGTTTCCACGCAAAGATATCTTTATTAATTTGAAGAAAGGTGATGAGCGCGCTTTCCTATTTACAATCTAACTCGGCGCCTATTACAGTAGTTTTAGTAGGATCAGAAGGATCTAGAGGAATTTTCTTGGTCTTGGCTTCGCTTTCTCCACTCTTTGAGATCTTGGTTGAAGGCACTTCTCCTTCGCTTGCCGTGGTTGCAGTCAGTCGGATGTCTTCTCGGGCGATCACGATCTCGCGGGTTTGGGCCATCTCGCAGCTTTCCTTGTCGCATGTGACGGCTTGTTTGATGTCGCTCCGCAGGGATATGACTCCTCGTGGACCAGGCAACTTAATCATCATGTAGGTGTAGTGCGGAACGACCATAAATTTGGCTAACGCCAGGTGCCCGAGTATGGCATGATACGCTGTCTCGAAGTCAGCAACCTCGAAGCAGACGTTCTTTGTGCGGAAGTTCTCCCGAGTACCGAAGGTGACCGGAAGAGTGATCTGGCCGAGTGGCGTGGCGGATAGCCCTGGGATGACTCCGTGAAAGAGCGCATTACTCGGCTTCAACTCGGTGCGAGGGATCTGCATGTCGTCCAGGGTCTTGGCGAAGAGGATATTGAGTGCGCTGCCGCCATCGATTAGGGATCTACAAAGCTTGACGTTGCGAACCACTAGGTCTAGTACCAGGGGGTACCACCCCGGGTGGGCCACTCAGTCTGGATGATCCGAGCAGTCAAACTTGATTGTTGTCTCCGACCACCGAAGATATTGGGGCGTATCAGGCTGAACAGTATTGATCTCCCGTTCAGTCAGCTTTTGCTTTCTTTTAGATCGTAAGCCAGAGGGCCACCAAAGATGTGATTGAGTTCCTTGCGATGGTCTTGAAAACCTGTCGGGGCATCATCATTATCATCCTTCTTTTTCTACGTGCTTTGATCTCCATCGGAGGTCTTCCTGCATTCTTGGCGTAGTGCTCTGCAAACTGTTTATACACGAAGCAATCTTTAGCTGCATGATTGGAGTTGGGATGATGCGGACATTGGGAGTTCATGATCTTGTCAAAAGTGTTGACGCGCGAACGTTGTCGGGAGGAGTGTGTAGTAGTCGCAACAAGTTCCTCGGGCTTACGCTTGCGGTCCTTGTGATTGTTACTTCCACCCCCTCCCGTAGTCGGCACATCTTTCTTTGGCTTCCAGGTGGGACGGGACTGCTTGGATGCGATAATGGCGTCTTCGGCTTTGGCATACTCGTTGGCTTTTTCAAACATCTGTTTGACCGTCTTGGGAGGCTTGCGCCCGAAATTGCCGACTAGATCTTCGTGACGAATCCCCTTGGTGAAAGCAGCGATGATGACGTCGTCGGTAATGTCGGAGATCTTGTTGCGTTGTTCAGAGAAGCGTCGGATGTAATCTCGAAGGGATTCTCCAGACTTCTGAATGACGTTGTAGAGATCAAACTATATGCCAGGGCGTTCAAAGGTGCCCTGGAAGTTGGCGATGAAGTGGTCACGAAGTTCCGCCCATTATCCGATTGTGCCATGGGGTAACCCATGAAGCCAGGACCGGGCAGAATCCGCTTGGGCCACAGGTAAGTAGTTTGCCATGGCCTTGCTGTCTCCTCCTGCTGCGCGGATTGCGAGACCGTAGACACTCCGGATTAGTGGTGCCGTCATACTTCTCGATTCCAGTCGGCTTGAAGCCGGCTGGCCAATCCACTCGACGTAGGTCGTTAGTAAAGGCAGCTACTCCACCCACGTCGTCATCGTAGCGATCCGGTGAATGGCGGTGGGCATGGCCTCGCGCTGCATGGCGCTGGTTGATTGTATCATGAAGATCGACGGGGCGCCTACGAGGTGGGGAGCGAGGCCGTTCAACTCAGTGCTCCCTGTGTCGCTCAGGAGGCGAGTGAACCGATCGCTCATCGTGGCCCCTGCTCCTGTGATTGGATCCTGCGCCGGCGATGCTGAGGCTTGGCAGGTGATAATTTTGAGATCGAAGATGGGGGACCCGGCTGCCAGTCAGCGTGCGGACGCTTCCAGAGTTAACCGGGACCGAGGCGGCAATCATGGTCTTGGTCTGGTTCAAGATGTTGACGACGTGGTCAGCTTGGTTGAGTGCGTCTTCCTTGAGGAGGGTGTCGAGGAGGGTGATCGCCGCAACATCGTTCTGTTGAGGGGTACGGAAGACCGCCGTCCCCTCAACGTCTTGCTGCCCGATGAGATCTCACGCTCGTCGCCCTACGTCCAAGGCTCGTTGTCGTCGGTCCTCGGCCTCCTTTGCAGCCCGTTCGCGTTCCTGTTGCTCACGCTGCAACCGTTCTTGCTCTTGTGCTTGGCGCTCCTCTTCTAGTCGGCGTCGCATGGCCTCCTGTTGTACGCGTCGTGCTTCTGTTTCTCGGGCTTGGCGTTGTTGTTCCGTCTCGTTATTTGCCATGAAGACGCCGAAATAGAGAGGGGTGTAGTTATCTTCAAAGCTTTCGTTGAAGTCGTCGAGGTCGCGGTTGTCGTAGCGGTAGCCGAATTCGTCATACTCTACGATCTCTGTTGGTCGTGAGTCGACGCCGGGGGAGCTGAAGTAGCCTTCCAATTGATCCGTCAAAACCGTGTCGAGTGGCTGGAGTATGACGCCGACTTCCCTGGAGCTAGGCTGGATCGGTGTTGAAGCCGAATTCCGCCTAGGCCTACGGGGAGAAGACGTCCTTGCAGTGAAGACAGCAGCCAGATCGTCGGGGAGTTTCATCAGGATTGGCGGGTAGGCCCCATCGTCTTGATCTGGTGGTCTTGGAGTAGATGGGATCTCGTCCGAGTCGTTTGGAGCCGACTCGATCGAGATAAGCTTGGGGTAGATCTTGGCCGAGTTCGGAATACCGAACGGGGCTGAGACCTGGTCTCTCCCTGACTGGTTCAAATCCGAGTCAAGGAGAGAGATCTTGCCGAAGTCGTTGGTGATGAAGTCGAGGCTGCCGAACCGGAACGCCTGCCCTGGAGGGAAGGCAAAGTCGTCGATGCCGGAGACGAAACCCATCGCACTAGTCGGCGAAAAATTTGACGCTCCCCCTACTTGGCGCGCCAACTGTCAAAACAAGATTTCGGCAATACTAAAAGGGGGTGGCTATCAATCTAGAAAAGTGGATGGGTTTGAAGACAAGGAATTTTATATAGGTTCATGCCTTCTTAATCAAGAAGTAATACCCTACTCCTGTCCGGGGATTGATCCGCCGAGTGTATTATTGATCGTATAATCTGGGAGAAAATCGTGTCCCTAGAGGGACCCGGACCACTCCTTATATAGGGGAAGGGGTTCGTATTACAAAATACAGTCCATATCCCTAACGGAATATGTGATTACAGATAAAATACAATCGTAACCGACTAGGATCCCGGGTATTTCCTTGACATACAAGTTTAGAAACTAACCCGAGTCCTCCTAAAGATATTCTATCTATATCTGGTACCCCGTACCCAACCAAACTATACATGCCGTGTAGATATGGGGTATCCATAATCTCCACACTTCGGCAGACCACTATGAACCATCATGCCATCGAGCTGTGCCTCCACCATCAAGAGTGAAAACTGCATCTGCTACCAACATGGCCACAAATAAAATTCAGAGCATTCTAGTATGAGTAAATTTGTTGTCAAAATATTCAGAGAAAAACTAGCCTGTTCAACAGTGTTATATGCAGTGAGCAAGCTACTGATCGTATTCCTTATGCCATTGAACTTATCTGCTTAGAGGAATCCACTTCAATTTCTCTACTATTCAACCAGAAAATCACAGAACCTGAACAAAATCCCAGTAAGAAAAAGCTCATCAAGAAAACACAATCCCCACCACCAAGCCTGCTCCGGCTAAGATGCATTGCAATCACTACAGTCTGAAGGCACCAGATCGGAATGGTTAGGAAAAATGACAGAGCAAACAAAAGAAAAGGTGATCACCTTCCTCTGCACTTGAAAAGCAACATTCCATTGGAAACATTAACACGAGGTGTCTAGTTATCTGACCGACCTTAAACCTTTGTGAAGACTTCCTATTTGCAAGAATGGGTTAACAATGAAATCTCCTGCTGTTGTTTTTGTATTATAAATTATTTCTATCCAATGAAGAAACAGATCACATGCAAAAATACTGGTATACCAGCAGAATCGAACTTAGTGGTAGGATCCGGTCACAAAAACAGGGGAAAATGGGGGAAGGGGAGATATACCTGACGAGGAAGGGATTGATGGGCCTCTCCTGCTTGTGCTTGGCTTGGCCCAAAGCCACGGCAGCACCGGAGGGGAAGAGCTCGGCTCTGGGGATCTTGTGGCTGCTTACCCCTCTAAGCAATCACTTGCTAGAGGGAGACGATTAGGAAGGTGTGGATTGGGAGTCATGAAAGTTGGTGGAGGTGGATTGGGAGGAGGGGCTGCGTGGTTGTCAGAACCTGGGATGGAAATGGAGGTCATCTGAAGAAGTCTGAATATCGGAAGAGGAATTCTGAAACTCTGAAGAAACGGAGATGGAAGCTATACAGGGAATGGACGGCCCAGATTTCAGCATACCGGTTCGTTAATGGGAATCGGAAAATAGAGAGTATTGGGGGTCAGCTGTAGTTGTTCCACTCTTGTCGTTTTGCTCTTTTTCTAGTGCTGTGTCTGCTTTGACAGCTAAGATGTAAAACTCTAATATATGTTGCGGCTTTGCCAAGTGAAGGAGTAAGAAAAAGCAGATAATTATCTTGTTCTCTAGGAGTAGGGGTAATTTAGCTCTAGGGTTCTTGCGGCGACCACATACTCTCGTTCCCCTACCTTGAATCGTGTTCCAATAAGTTTTTCCTGAGAGAGAGAACAAGAGAGGATTCGTTTTCCATTTCGCTACGCTCGATTCCTAACAAAGGTACCAGAGCACACTCGATTCTTGGCTCTTGGATTCGTTAGGCGAGGGTTGGTGGAAGGCGGCGGCGAGATCCACTGTAAAATTCCTAAGCTGAGCGAATTCAACCCGGAGGCGACAAGGGAAGGTAAAGATTCTTGAGTGAGGGTTGGTGAGCCATCGTTGCGGTGTGCTCCCGTAAAATCTCCGGAACTCGAGATCTGGATCCAGCGGCGGTAGAACACTCTGCAGAGGAAACAGGGGAGGAACGAGCTTCTGAACCTACTCTGCAGATCATGAAGATGGTGACGAAGACCCGGTCTAATGATGAGATATTCAGTTTGGAGGTGATGAATGAGTTTCGCGTTGATATGGTTGGATTAAAGAAAGATGTTGCAGATTTGAAGAATCTCAAGTCAGAAGTTGTCACACCCTAAAAATCCTAAATATATAAATTGTTGTTTAATTGGAATTATTATATTTTATTTTAGAAGTCTAGAAAAGAAGATCTAATTTTAAATAATAAATTCCAATATAAAATGGGGCCAGATAAAATTTCATTAAATACTTTGCTTAATTCTATAATTCCTAGATTTTTCTGGGATTTATTTGAGCTAAGGAAGTATTTTTAATAAATGGAATTGCATTTCATGAATAATTTAAATTGAAAAAGGTTTTTAAAATCCTCTTTTGGCTTTGGGCCGAAAGTCGGCCCAAAACCTTCTCTCTCTCTCTCCCTCGGCCCAGTCGGCCCAGTCAGCCCGCAACCGCCCGCGCGAGCGCCCTCGGCCGCTGACAGGTGGGTCCCACCTGTCGGACTCGTCGTCCTCCTCGCGCCGTCGCCCGGCCGGAACCCTAGCCGAGCCGCGCCGCTGTCTCCTTCCAAATTCGCTCGCGCCTTTCCTTCTCCGGTGAAATCAATTGAGGGGAAATGTTTCCCGAGATCTCCTCTACCTTTTCTCTTTTGGAATCGTCGGCTAAATCGTTTGGAAATCCGTGGATTCGAGTTCGATTCGGATCGATCTCTCTCCTCCGAACCCAAAACTTTCCTTCGCGTCGCCGGTCGCCGTGGGCCTTCGCCGCCGCCTCCTTGCCCCTATAAAAGGACCCCCAAGCCCACCGCTACCTGCCGCCACCCTCGCCTTCGCCTCTCGCCGCCCGTAGCGCCCTAGCCCCGTGTAGCCTAGCACCGCCGTCGTCGCCGTTCGTCCAGCCGTGCGCCGCCGCCGATCCCGTCGTCGTCGTCGCTCGGGAAAGTCACCGTCGTGGTCGCCGTCGCGTCGCCGTCCTCGTCCGCCCCTCCATCGCTGTTGTAGACCGCCGAAGCACCACCGTCGTCGTCAAGCCGAAGGTTGCCGCCGCTTCTTCCTCATCGCTGTCGTCGTCCGTTGATCTTCCGCCGCCGCTTTGGTCACCGGTGAGTTCGCCATGCCGTCCGCTACCCGTAGGTGCTCTCCGTTCGCGCTGTCATGCCGTCGTTCACCGGCGAGCATGCACGCCCGAGCTGCTGCCGGTGGTGACGTCACCGCTGACGTCATCGTCGTCGTCTCCCGTGGTCCGGCCGTGGACCGGTCGATCTTGGCCGCTCGTTTTGGATGGAAAGATCTCGGCCGTTCGTTTTCGTGAGCCACCGCCGTGCACCCGGTTCACCGCGAACCCTAGCCGCTAACGCAATAATTCCCTTTTCCTTTTCAAAAATAATTCATTATTGCGTCATAATTCAATTAAAATCTAAATAAATGATTTAATCCGATTTAATCTTTGAAAATTCATAACTAATTCATCTTAGCTCGGATTTAGTTGGTTCAAGTCTCTAAATTTTTCTAAAATTGAGATCTACATGTTGAAAATATCCACATGTACTGTTCATGCTTGTTTATGTGCTGTTTTTGTGATTTTGCTCCTTTCTGTTTAAATTCCGACGTTTCCGGAGAGTCCGTTTTTACAGGAGAAGAATTTGAAGAGTTCCAAGGCCAGCAAGGCAAGTCACACAGATCCCAAACAACCCTTTGAGCGTGTTGATCCCGTTTAAAGCTATTGTTTCTATTCAACTATTGCATTTATTTTTGAATGTCATTGGGTGGAATTAACCTATTGTTTGTTATAGCCCTTTTGTTCTTGATTACTTTATTCCTTGATACCTTGGGTTATTATAACTTGACTAGTTGGGCTATATATATTGGTTCAGCTAGATATTAGATATGATTGCTTAGCCATGCTTAGAAACTCACTATTATTTAATGTTGGCTTAATGATAGTTCACGATGGTCAATCGTGATTGGTTAATTAATTACTTGCCAACTAAAACTTGATAATGGTGGGTTGTGAGCACATGGTTTTGAGAGTCGTGCTCATGACAATTAAGGACCGGTTCACGAGTTTCGGTTGTGAAACATTAACCGTGCCAACCACAAGCCAGCGTGGGCAACGGCTTTACCTTTTGTATAGCATGGTTCATTGTGGAGCACCAGACTGAGAAGTGGCGGAGATAAGCCCACGGGGGTCGCTGGGGAGTCCATGCCTTGTTTATAAGGGGGTGATTATGATCCAGGAAAGGTGCGCTGTGGTGGATTGTGTTGTGCGAGGGGTACTGTCACAGCTCCTTTCCGAGGTACCGTGGTGGTATTGAGGCACATGGTGACATGTTGTGGGGCTGTGTCTTGTGGGTACAGTGGTACACCTCTGGCCAGAGTAAAACTATTCGAATAGCCGTGCCCGCGGTTATGGGCGGGTCTAACAATGTCTTTCGTGATTAGTTTCACACTTCTCATCATAATAAAAGATGCTATAACTGGTAATAATTTGATTAGTTTCACACTTCTCATCACACTTCTCATCTACCTCTGTAATGACATTTTATTCGCTTATTAATTAGAGTAATAATTGTACTCTATTATCAATTTGTTATTATGTGCCTCGGCTGATTCCTGGACGAGGGTTCACACACCTGTAAGCGTTTGGAATTTTGGATAGAAATTCCGGGCGTGACAAGTTGGTATCAGAGCCTCCTTGAACCTAGGTTATGCCAAATGGTTACCCATAGAAGCCCTCTAAAAATATTGGAAAAGTAGAACTGTTCTCCTCCCTTTCTCTTTTAATTAAACCAAACTAATAGCACATGCACATGCACTTTCTCTAGCACCACTAATCCTGTTGAAGCTGGCGATTGGCTGCATGCCATAGAGAAGAAGTTGGATTTGCTTCAGTGCACTGATCAGGAGAAGGTCTCATTTGCATCACATCAGCTGCATGGCCCTGCCTCTGAGTGGTGGGATCACTTCCGCCTTAACAGAACTACTGCTGAACCTATCACTTGGCTTGAATTCACCGCTGCTTTCCGGAAGACTCATATACCATCGGGAGTGGTGTCTCTCAAGAAGAAGGAATTTAGGTCGCTCACCCAGGGATCTCGCACGGTCACCGAGTATCTACACCAGTTCAACCGTCTGGCTTGTTATGCTCCGGAAGATGTGCGCACTGATGAAGAGCGCTAGGAGAGGTTCTTGGAAGGACTTAATGATGAGCTTTCTTACCCACTCATGACTGGGCATTATCATGATTTCCAGAAGTTAGTGGATAAGGCTATTCGCCAGGAGGACAAGTACAACCGCATGGAGCAGAAGAAACGCCGGATTGCTCACTTCAAGGCACAACAGGGGAATAGTCAGAGGCCGCGTCTTACTTTAGGACCTCAGTCCATGCCACAGGGAGGTTCTTCATCTGTTGTTCGTCCGCAGCGTCAGCTCTTCAACAACAATGCTGGCAACAACATCCGCAATCAAGCTCCACGCCCTATTGTAGCTCCAACACAGCAACAGCCTGCCAAGAGGGAGCAAGGTAGCAAGCCCGGGGTGTGCTTCAACTGTGGAGACCCAGGACATTACTCTGACAAGTGTCCGAAGCCCCAACGCGTGAAGGTTGTCCCGGCCCAGAGCAACTCTACCGCACCAGCATCAAAGGCCCGTGTCAATCATGTTGCTGCAGAAGCTCAAGGTGCTCCACATGTGATTTTGGGTACGTTCCTTGTCAACTCAGTTCCTGCAACAGTGCTTTTCGATTCTGGTGCTACACATTCATTTTTATCTATGAGTTTTGCGGGAAATCATGGGATGGAAGTAGAAGATCTTAGACGTCCTTTGATGGTTAGTACCCCAAGTAATCAAGCACTCTCTTTGCAACGTAGCCCCTCTGTCAGAATAGAAATTCAAGAAGTACCATTTCTGGCCAATCTTATCCTGTTAGAATCCAAAGACCTTGATGTCATCCTAGGGATGGACTGGTTAGCCAGATATAAAGGTGTGATAGACTGTGCCAACAGAAAAGTAACTCTCACCAGCAATGATGGTCGAGTTGTAACTGTTCATGCATTGTCTTCTGAGTCTTTAAGGTCAAGACTGAACCAAATGACTTTGGAAGAGATTCCTATAGTCTGGGAGTATCCCGATGTGTTCCCAGACGATTTACCTGGTATTCCGCCTAAAAGGGATATAGAGTTCAGAATAGATTTGGTACCAGGAACAACTCCGATCCATAAGAGACCTTATTTGACAAATTAAATTCGATCGACGACATAACATTTACAAGTATTTTGATTGAATTACAAAACCCTAGCTATATTATACGCCTGGTCCAGTTAG